TATATATATATATATATATATATATATATATATATATATAATGAATATTTATTAAAAATATAATTAAAATATTATTTTATAAGTAGATCTGATGTTAGTGAATATCTAGAAGAAAAAGTGAAACCATTTGATTGGACATTTACAACCACTTACACTGGTACAATATCTAATTTTGAAATTCAAGAAACTAATGAACGAATTGATGTAGATAAATTAAAAAGAAGGGATAAAATCTTATTCTATCATGATTTAACATTATTTGAAGATGAACTTCATGATAATGGTATTGCAGTTTGTTCTGTAAAAATTGTAAGTTTATGATAGTATAAAAAAAAATAATAAATAAATAATTAAATTCATTCTAATTTCATTTACTGATGTCCATAGCGAGTTATGCCAAATAGTTTTTTCATTTTATTGAGATATTTTTTGAGAATTGATGGTGTAATGTTGAGGATAAATGATACACGGCTTTATCATGAATTTGGTCAAGATTATTTGTTGCGAGAGTATACATCAAGAGAAGCTAAGGTTGAAGAAATACGTGTAAGCAATTTAATATTATTATACAATAATTTAAATTAAAGTAAATACTGATTATAATATTCATTTTTTCAAGTTAAAATATTGAAATAATTAATGTGATTTTATTTTTTATTTTTAGGCTCCACCATCACTTTTTATAGAACCAAGCGAAATAGCTCCATATTTGCCTTTAATTGGATATCATTATCATAAACTAATAATTGTTTCACATAAACCAGAACTAGTCACAAATAATAAATTAGTTAATGATACAGTAGCTGATAATGTTGCAGCTACAACTAACATAAACGATATAAATAATTCTGTTACTTAAAATTTGCACTTATATGTAAATATATTACAATTTGAAATAATCTATAATTGAGCATTTATTAAAAGAAGAAAAACCTTATACTTTAAATACAATACAATAATGCAAAAGTTGCTATATAATCACTAGAATAATATAAAATATTATATAAATTTCTTATTCAATTAATAGATAAAAATTTTTTAAGATTAAACATATGATTGAAGCATTCATCATAAATAAACGCTTTTTTAATGACATTTTGAATATCATATTAATTCTTCCTTACTCTACCTTTTAAAAAATATAGTATTATAATATTAAATTTCTAAATTTGTATTTTTCTATGATTTGGAAAAGGATTCATTTAGATGTTCATCATATCGTTTTCTGACATTATTGTAAATCCATGAAAGCAACTTTTTATTATATTGTTGTTCAGTTAAACACATAATTCTAGTTGCAATGAAATTTATTTTCGCATGGGATATGTCTGTAAATGTAATTTCTGTCTTTGGTTTATTTTTATGCAAAAAATCAAGTGTACAATAACCTAATGCATGTATATAATTACAACGTTGTATCTCTTCACCTAATGTTCCATTATTTGTTTCCAATGACCAGTTATATTCAAAAATCTATACAATAAAACTATATGTTAATATCTTCTTGTTTAGTATATATTATGCTTCAAAACAAACTTTTTTTACTTACAGCCATATCATGTATACTTGTATTAGGAGGATAAAAAAATTTTGGTCTTGGATTTGGAAATTTTTTTGGGCATTTTTGATTTTTTAATATTTTCATGCTTTCTTTTACGTTACTTGATAAATTATAATACTTTTTATCAATCATTCTTCTTTGTGTAACACTTTTTGCAAAATACTTTTTATCATAAAAAATAGTAATAGTTCCTGTTCCATCATCAACTAAAAAATATTTCTTACAAATATTTACACGTGACAAAATTTTTTATTAAAATATATATTACATGAAAATATTAAATAGTTTTGATATTAAGATTATTTTACATTACCTTGATACCGATAACATTTAGCATCTTCAGAATTACATACTACAAATCCCATTATATTAATTTTTCCTATTCTAATATAAGGCATATTAAGAGGATGAAATTTTATAATTTTACCTTCAAAATAAGGTACGAATCTATTTAATTCACATATTAAAAAGGGTCCATAAACTTTTATTTTATCTAAAATAATTTTTCATATTTATATAATATATATGTAATTATATACTTAAATTTTAATATATATTATTTAAATATTACTTAAATACATTTAAACATAATTTTTAATGTTTTTACATACCTTCTTTATTTTCAATATTTTTATAATTGATCCATTCTTCTTTCTCAGATAAATATAATGGATAATCATAGTCTCCTTTAATTGAAATAAAATCATCTTCAATTTCTCTTGGTAAATCTGTCCAATTAAGTAAATCTTCTTCTGACATTTATAAAATATAAAATTTTTCAATAGTAGTAAATATTTTTATGATATTAGCTTGTTATAAATGTAAAATTTTTAAAATATTCGCTGCATATAAATTAATAATATTTTTATTTTACTATATCTAATTATTATTTACAAAATTTAATATTAATAGATGTTTTCACATATAGGTTTAATATATTGTTACGGATTTGGCGGGATTTTATCTGTTACCAATAAAAAACATTCCACTTAAGATTGAACCTTTAGTGAATTTCAACATTCGACACTAGCGGGCGTTGTTAGTACAATTTAAAAATTACGATCTAAGCATTTCAATTTTAAAATATGTGAAACATATTTAAATATTTAATTAAATGTTAATTTAAAAAAAAAATAAAATGTAATATAAATTGAATTAAAAAAATTAATTCTTTGAATTGTTATTACACAGAAATAATGTAAAGAAAAGATAAAAAAATTAACTATACAATTTATAATCAAATAAATATCATAATGAATTTAAAAATAAATAAATAATATAAATAATATAAATTGAAAAATAAATTATAAGTTGAAAAATTATATAAGAATATTAATATCTTATTATAAAACAATAATTAATATTCTTAAATTATACTATAAAAAAGAATTTTATTTTTTTATTTTCTATAAACTTACATTAATGGAAATTTTTTGAATGATAGTAACAAATGATATTAAGTATTTATGAATAGCTGAATAATCAAAGAAACAAATACATAGTATTTCCTTCGATTGCAACCGTAATTGCTATTGCTAGTATTGTATCGCAGACTACCACGGATCAAGTCCCATGTGCATTGTTCCTTTACACATCGTCTGACCTTGGGAAGGTCACGCCTGTTATACGCACCTCACATTCCTCGAATCCCCCGCGTTCCATTCTTCACGAAGGCAAGGTTACTTCGTTAAGCAATAAAGACTGATTTCATGTAATAATATTTAATTTTTGTGAATTAAATTATGTAAAAGTAAAAATTAACTATTTTTACTCTTAGTTTGAGAATAATTAAAATATAAAATAAAAATTGAGTATTTTTATTCTTAGATATATATATAAATTAATAGAGAAAAATATATTGTAATATTGCAATAGATTATAATTTTTAAAAATTATCAATTTTATTTTTATACAAATATATATTGTACATATGCAAATAATTACATACATTATTAAATATAATCTTATTGTTTTAATTTTATAAATAAATATATATAATTTCATAATATTAAAAATATTAAAAATAAAGATATTGCTTTATATATAAAGTGTAATAATGCATGAAGATAATGCTAATTAATTTTCGCGAAAAATTTAAGATATTTTAAAATTTTCATTTGAAAATATTTCCATCATAATATATAAGGAAAAAATATTTGAAATTCGTCTTTTTAAAAAAGTAATTTAAAAGAAATAATTGCTTTACATAATAAAAATTCTTTGAATTTATTTAATTAATACTTAATATAATATGACAAAGATAATTTTTTCTAATTGAAATAGGAAGATAGAAAAAAAGAAGTGAAGCGAATCACTTGATTGGTTTGCATCATGAGAGGATGTTTGTAAAAGAAACTTGTGCAAAAATTATTCAATTTTTGACACAAAAAAAAATAAAAAAATTTAGATAGAATTAGTGATGGTGTTGAAATTCTTTCGAAATAATAATTCTTAATTAGCTTCGAATGAATTATGAGTGATTTAAGTTAAACAATAACTAAACTATATATCTATTTTTAAAGTAATTTTTATTTATACATTAAATTTTTTTTCATATGATTACTTTTATAATAATTATATTTTTATTTTTCTATTCGTTAAAAATTTAAAATATTGTTCATATGCAAATTTTATCTATAATTTATATTATTATTATTAAATTATATAAGATAATGTTTGTTTTTATTTTTTATTTTATACCAATTATTTAAAAAATTACTAAGAATGGAAATAAATTCTCATAATTTTCTTTTATCTGTACAATTTGTCTAATTTTCATTAATGATGAACATCCGTTTGCAGAATTCATTACAAACTCAATACCATTAACTCTATACTTAAAATAGTAATATTGAATTATTGCAAATAAAATTTCAATTAACAATGTGGTATATATTAGATTGAAACAATACAGTTTTGCTGAATTTTCAATGAATTTTTTTTTCTCAGAAAAAAAAATGTGCAAGATTAGAATACAAATGAATAAATTTATGATATTTAAAATAATTTGTCTTATAAAAATGAGTATCAAGTTTTTTATTTATAAAATAAAGTTTTTATTTAACAGAAAACAATGCATGACTTAATTACTTGATAAATAAGTAATTTTTAGTTACTTTTAACTTTTTTTTATTTTATAACATATATTTAATAAATACAAATGAATACAATAAATGATAATGAATACAAACGAAATACACCGATTAAGGTTAAATAATTTTTTAATTCATTTATTCCTAAATTTAAAATTTTATAAATATTCAAAACGATTCCATTAATAATTAAATCATTATATCGTTATTATTTTGACAAGAGGAATAATGTATAATATATAATAAATATTTACATAATCGATTTTAAAATTCATCATAGAGTTTCTCATCCAGGAGATGCCAGGATGCCAATATGATATTAATCTAATCTAACTTACGCTAAGAATAATTAAATTTTAAATATGCATAATTTTTAAATCAATATAGATTCTAATAGTCAAAACCGATATATTTCATCATTATTCATCGAATATTATCAGAAAATACAAAATGATACATAGAAAAAAGTAATACTTCAAAGTTTAATGCAAATAATTGTAAAAGTCGAATAACTTTAATAACGATTTCATAGAAAATTGAATATCAATTAATATCAATACATTTATCGGCAAGAAACGAGAATTACATTTTTCAACTCTGTTGAAAGAAGTCTCGTGAGGTGGTCGTTCCCATCGCTGAGCATCACCTCGCACGCTACCATGATGCGTAGGTGTTTCCGGCCGGCTGAAGCACGGGCATCTACCCGATCTCTTACAAGCACAAGAACGAAGAAATAGTAAGGAGAAAGAGAGGAGAAAGAAAAGAAGAAGAGGAAGAAAAAAAAGAGAGAAAGAGAACGATCAGACGAGAGAGCAGTGTGAAGCGAGAGAAGAGCGAGTTGGCGAATAAGAGAACTAGGGAGCAAAGCGAGAAAAATAGAGTCTGCCAGCGGGTGAGCGAGTGGAAAAGCAGGATGCGAGTGGAAGGACGCCCATCGTACACAGAGGGACTGAGAGGAAGGGAGCAAGAGAAAGAGAGAGAAAGAGAGAGAGAGGGAATACTCGGCCGGAAGCAGTTACTCGTGCGATGTAACGAAAATATCAGCCGTCCGTTTCGCAATCGGCCTACCAGCGTTCGCCGAGTTTAATATAGAACACTCGCACACCCTGTCGCGAAAACATCACGCTAACCCCGCTAACTGCATGCTATCGCATTTATCGCATCAGATCGAATAAAAACCCGTTTCATCTCTTTCTTATATGCGAATTCAATTGAAACTTCATCTACTATTAGTAATTAGACATTCGCATATACTATTACACAACAATTTTTTAGGTTAGGGATGCATTGTCAATCTACTTACATATATCTTCAATATTTCTTTTCGAGATCGTAGATCGAACATTCGAATGTATCAATGAAATTTGATCGATTCTATTGTATGAGGGAATCAAGATTAACTTTATATGAATCGAAATACTCTTTTTTTCCTGATTTAAATAAGAATCTGTAATAAAAAGTTTTGTATACATTTGTTATTTAATTCATTAAATTTATATTTCCTCTCAAATAAATCGCGTATGTTAAATAAATTTTTACAAACCATCTTTGATGCATAAAATAATCTGCTACGTTAAATCAGAATTATATAATGCCTCGTAAATTTTCCCCTTCTTTTTTCATAACTTTGATTTTTCCATCTACTATCCTGATATGATATTTTTCCTACGAAAAATTTTAATCTTTCATCTAATTTTTTATCTTTCATCTCTAATTCTAGTCATTTAATTTTTATAAAAATAAATATAGATTATATAAATTCGTGCAAGTTTACCTCAAAAATTCTACGGCGAACGTTCGAAGAATACTTCAGTTTTAATCTTCTATCATCAATAAATCTAATTGGTCATAAAAATATCTGGTTATTTCAAATATCATGATCGAAACATCGTATTCAAAATTTTTCTCCGTTGATTTTCTTGAAAAGTTTATTGATGATTTATCCATGAGTATCATGCACATACTCATTCCATTCTCTTTTCCACCTACTTACCACATATACGAATAACGATCAATATAATGTTGATAGAACGACACTAGAAATATCACATGCAATTCTTGGAATATCGCAAGCATTCCACGAACACCTCTCTATCAGTCTCAATTCTTTCCTCGACCGCATTATTGGTTAAGATTTTTACGTTTCCGCGACGATGCGCTTCGAACGCATTCGTACAATGGCCGCTTCTATTTGACTCTCGTTGAGTGGCGTGTTCGATTGGCTACTCTAGTATTCCGCGATTTGGTATATTTCCGCGAAAAAACCTATCATAAGAGAATCCGATTTAGCACAAATTTGACTACTGTTTATCCGAATAAATGACTTTCTTGTGTTTCGGTTGTGTCCAGGTTTGTGAAGTCATGTGACAAGTTTGTGCTTTCCTGTATTTAGGTCCATGTTTATGTCACGTGACAAGTTTATCTTTCGCTTGTTTCTCTTTAGTAGTATTGTCATTGTGTCACGAAGTCAAACTGAACCACAGACATTATCATCCAGCTTATATTGTTATCAGAATGCATCGAGTTGAACTGCAACTGAAAATTTTTCTGAGAAAAGCTTTCTAAAACATGTTATACTTTCATATTTTCGTTGTTCTTTATGTAAAGCAATGTGATAAATAAATCGTACTTAATATATCTAATGTAAATATTTTTAAGTTGATTCTATCATATTATAAAATTATTGTATCATATATACAATTTATCCTTGATATAATAATCAAAGAATAAAATTATACTCTTCTTAATTACAATTTTAACAATACTACATTTTTTTAAATCATTTTCATTTCAATTGTGTATTCAAAATCAGTACTATCAATATTATTTAATTTTTTTGTTACAAATTTGTGTCAAAATTTTTCTGAAGATATTAAAAGGATTGTTTTTTATTTAAAGAAAAGAATTTGAGATATAAAAATTCGAGGATTGTAACAGAAGTAGTAACACAAGTAAGGTTAGAAAGTCCTTTATGTTTTAGATTTTATCTATAATTTCAATCAGATCAAATTTTTTATTTTTCTAATAAAGATATCGAAAAGAAAATGTTAAATTTAATTTTTATATATTTTTTGAAATGTAAGATATTTCAATTAAGAAGAATAAACTAGTTTTGCAAAAAGGGCAGGAAGTGAAAGGGTTAAAAGATATCTCCAATTTTGACTTCTTCGAACGTGATCGAATGATTCGTAAAGGTAAAGCAAAAGGAAGCCAGACCAATCTTTCCTCGTTAATGTGTTCGTTCGTGCGGAGAAGAAGGGATAAATAACTGGAGATAGCGATGGATTCAACACGTTCTGAATCCCTTTGAATCGTTAACAAAGCTTTCATCGTTTTAAACATTAAGCAAAATCAATTTAATCAGATTTTAATGTAATTTATTCATTCATATTCATAAGTATTAATTCATTAATTTCAATGTATAAATTTCATTAATCAGTTTCGAAAAGATAAAGATTAAAAAGAAAAAAAATAAATTTTTTTTCATATTGCAAAATTTGATATTTCAAAGACAATTTTAATATTCCATCAAATTTTTATTTTTGTTTGTATTAAAATTAAATTGAAATAATAATGATATCGTGATACCTTTTTTCTTTAACAGTCCATTTAATATTCTAAGGAATATATTATATTCCTTATATATTATACATATCTAACAATTTTTCTCTTCTATGAATTATTAAAAAAACCTATGAATTTATAAATAGATTAAAAAATTATTATTCATTACTAACTATTAAAAGGAGATTTTTATCGGAATTTTTCATTCAAAAACTTACAGCGGACGGAATTTAATACCCATCGCTAACCGGATGAAGCCAAAGGAAGGAAAAAGGGGGGAACGCGTACAGGTCTCCACATCGAAGGTGGAGTTGAAGGGTGGGGAAGAGGCCACTTCCGGTCACGTGACAACACTGGACCAACCAGCCTGCCACTTTCTTCTTATTTTCGGCTCGTTCTCTTTTCTCTTTTTCTTCTGTAACCTTCTGTCATTGGCATCATCTTCTTGATTAACTTCGAATCATCATGAATCGGCTAGGAGCAAATAAAAAAAAAATGGTAGAACGTATTTTCTTATTTTTCTTATTACCATAACGAAATGAAATTTTTAATTTATATATACGTTCCCATTCATAATCCCGTTTTTGATTCTCGTGATGATCGTATTGTAATAATGTATACAAGAATTAATTGCCATCAAATGAATATTTGAAAATCTTGAATTTCACGAAGTTTGTTTTTTTTTTGTTTTATAAAAATTATATATACAGGTTAAAAAAGAGAGCGAAATTTGCGTAAGAAAAAAAGGAAAATAAGAAAATATTTGCTTACTAACTTTATTAACAATTGCCGGTATAAACTTGAATCTACTAACAATTAGATAACAACATGTGCGTCAACGCATTCCTATGGACGTAACGAATTCGCATCAACCGGAAGTAATGGAATTTTTCGTTCTTTTCTATTCTGTTTCTTTTTTTTTTTTTTCATTTTCTTTTCTATTTGTTTTCGTTTTGCCATTTATTTTATAGCCATCGCGATATATTATTATCAAATGTAGAAAGATCGTTCAGTTTGAGGCGAATTTGTATCGATCGTCCATGAGATTTGGGGGGGGGGGATTAATACACCGAATTGATACCTTTCCTCCTGGTATTTTTATACCACGTTATTTTTTTTTTTCGTTTTTAATATCGTACGTCCATGTACGTAAGATAATATTTATATCATAGTTATGTCGATACTCTGCAATTACAATTTCCTGAAGATCAGGCTTCGTAAAGGAAACCATACGATAACGATCCTGATGCGACGAAAGCTCGTTCATTGTAGAAGAGATTGATCAAATCTAAATACGCCGATTTGTCTATTTCTGTTTTTATTTATTTATTTATTTTTTTTTTTCATTCATGCGCATTGCTCGTTCTAATCTTATATATATATATATATTTTTTTTTCAATGATATTAATTCTCGCGGTAGGCTGAATTGTCTTTCTCTCGATCGTTTTTTCCAATCAACGATATATATACGTGAAATATATTTGTGTGTACCACTTTTTTCCTTTTTTTTTTTTGCTAATCTAAGGACTATTTGGAGTGACGGAAAATAATGCAAAAGGGAAAAGAATATATTTCGATTCATCGAAAGTGTTTGTATTCGATATTTCGAAAATGACCGTTGCCTAAGTACGATGCGATGTGAAACGTCGAAAGAAAGACATAATGATGAATGAACGATCCAGAAAAAAAAATAGAATGTAAAAAACAAGATGATAAAAACAGAATCGATCGGATTTCTTGCCCTGTGTTATAGCTTCTGCGCATATTCGATAAAATGATATTGCAAAGAACGACAGACAAATTTCTAAATCATTCGGAGAATCGAAGTAGATCGGAAAGAATTTTGACTGTCCTCAAACTACGGCTTCTAACATATTAAACAGAAATGCATAAATATATATGTATACATATATATATATACAAGTATATATACGTATGTGTGTATATATATAATATTTATGTGCATATATATACATATACATATATGCATGTATATATATATATATTTACAAGACATATACACACACAGAGCATATAGAGTTAATATTAATAAAAACTTACATTTTTTTCTTTTCGCTTGGCGAGACACGCGCGCGCGCACACACATCGAACCACACACATTATACATACAGACGTGTACGTAGGTTTATACAAAACATCAATGGGATTGTCGCACATTACTTTCTAATTAACATTGTAGCAAACTTCTTTCCTCTTGCATCGATTCATTCAAATCGAATTTTAATACACATTCAAAAATCCAATTGACTTTTCTCAACGTCTCTGTAAAACACTTTCGTTGTTTCTTTTGTTACGTGAAATATATTCACAACATGAACGTAATACACTAGTTGGGCTCAAGAATTGACACTTGAAATATAGAAGCTAAGAAAAATACAATATTTATTCGTTATACGATCCGTTATAAGATCGCAATATGAAATTCTAACCTTATTTTATTTTTGCTGACAACAACAAATGTAGGTAATGAGAACTAGCAAAAGACTAAGTGGAATTGAAAGCTTGTATATTTCAAAAAATTTGTTATGTATTATTTCATTATTCACATTATGCACTTCACTAACCCCAAAAAGAATTCACAATGGTGGGGATTAGACTCGAATATATAGTATCCGCAACAAAAGTTCGAGTATGTAATGAATAAATGTTATATAGTTTACTCGTTTGTTCACGTGGTATATGTTCTTATCTGTAGATGGTGACACTTTCGACCAGTATTCTTTTTTTTTTACGATTGTATATTAAATCTATTAGAAACAACCAATCAAATTCGATTGCCTATTCTTGAGCTTTTAAACTAGTATTATTTATTTACGTAAACGATTCTTGGCTGGTGAAAGGCTAACCCGATCAATGAATTTAAAATTATCAATTACGATCAATCTCCGTTCTCTATGTACCATGCGTTCTCTTATTCCTTCAACATAGAAGAATAAAGGTATGAATGTAGATGCGTCACGATTCATTTGATGTTCGATTTTAGTCGCCATATTGACTTTTCGATGGTAATAATTTCGTCTCACTTCTCGCTACTTCTTCGCGATGAACGAAGCCGAACGAGTAGTTTGAAGAATCGTTGTTTCGAACAATCGCTTTTCTCGTGATATATTTTCGAACAATTTGACCCTTCCTTCCCATTCGTACCTTATGAACTTCTAACAATCCTTTCTCGCTGTCGACCTCGTATACATTTACGATCAATGATATATGTTCAATTACTCGTGATGCTTTCGATATTTAAATATGCAAAAATGAAAAATGATATAATTTTATAGAGTATTTGATTAAAAAAAATAATTTCAGATAAAATTTCGACAACGAATCGTATCGTACGGTCATAATGATGACGATGTGTGTGTGTCCTCGTGGAACATCGACAGCGTGGTACATTCTTCAACGATCAAGCTGCTCGGGAATGGAAAGTTAACACACCTTCGTTCGGTGAATTCCGTCCGCGTGGGAAGCGCTGTTACCGTGCAATTAAACGCCGTTGCGGGCTGCAGCGGCAGCTCCAACACCAAAGAATCTCAAAGGCGTTAATTATTTTCTAAATCTTGCCTGAGAAGTAGACTTGAACTAACGAGGAAAACGATTATCCCTGTATATACGTTAAGTCAATGTTTGTTAAGAGAGAAAAAAAAAAAGAAAAGAAAAGAAAAGAAAAGAAAAGGAAAAGAAAATGAAAAAAGAGAAAAGAAGAAAAAGATCCAGTTAACGCGAATTTCCTTCGTCCAAATTCATTCTCCTTGTAAAGCAGAGAGTGGAGCCAATAACAGCATCGATTTAGCAACCACCACGCATGCATGCATGTATCGCTTTTGTCATTTCCCCGTTCCCTAACGAAACGATATTTAATTAAACTCGCACGACTAGATAATACTGGAAAAAAAAAAAAAGAGAAAATTAACAAAATGGAAACGACGCCCGAATGTGGTATACTATATACGTACGTAGAAGAGATTTCAGGCGTGCGTTGCTCTTTCTCCCCACTCCCTCTTCCTGATCTGTGTTTTCTTCTCCTCACGCTTATGCCCCCCACACAATTGTCCTTTTTCCATCTGCCCGCATTCTCGTCGACCCCATGAAGCACACCCACATACGCATACATACTTAACATACACACATAAACGCAAACGTTCATTCTTACAGATTTACAGTTCTCTCGCTCTCACGCAATCCGAACGCGCGTGCATTATCTCGATCTCGTGTCATATCACGCTCTCTAACGCTCGACAGGGCCTCGCGCGCTCGATACAATTCCAGTGTTAACGAGTATAAAAGCGTATACATCATATGCCGAGGAAAACGTTCGAAAATACGGACAATGCTTCTTTTCAGAGCTTTCCTTCCCCCTGCCCCGCCCTTTCCTGCTTTCTTTCCCTCTTTCTTCCTCTTTATGCGATATTCTTTATATGCGTTTCCTATCGCAGTGGTAAGAGACTGGAATAATTTTTGCAAATAATCCAGTCGCGGCCTTCTCGTCTTCCCGCCCCTTTTCTCCGTGTCGTGCTCCTCTTACTGCGAAACTTTTTATATATGTGTTACTTGGCAATTCAGCCACGAATAAATTAACCGTAGAAAAGATTTTTCTTTATACAAATGTAATATACAATATACATATCTATAATCTAAGTGTAGATGCGCATACACGCGCTTCAAGCAAAGTAACAGCAGGAACGCGTGTATACGCGCGTACACGTGCTCGCGTTTAATATACTTTAGTGGTTCGTCTATTCACTCTCTCACTCTCTCATTCACGTTCCACACATTCGTTTGGTCACGCTCGCACTTGTTCTCTGTGTGTGCGCGGTACTATTTATATATTCTATCGTGTATAGACCTATCTATACGTAAGTGGTATGTTTCTGCGTTAATACGCAAGCTCGCGTACCTTGTCATCTTTCTCGCCCTTTCTCCGCTATCTTTCTTTCTATCATCTTTCCTACGCCACTTTATATCCTTTAGCATCATCTCCCTCCCCCGTGACACGATCTCGCGTTCTTCCATTCGTTCGTTCTTTCTTTCTTTCTTTCTTTCTTTCTTTCTTTCTTTCTTGCTCTCTCAATCTCTCTCGCTCGCTTCGCATTTTCGCGCGCGCATGGAAGAATAATAAATAAAACACTCGCGACGTTAGACGTACAAATTCGTCATTCTCGATTATCGTTTCTCGACTTAAATGCAACTCTTGTACTTAATGCAATTTTCATTTTGCTCCCTCTCCTGTCGGATAATCTCTGCGCGTAGAAGAGCAATTTTGTATCCGTCCCTACGCGAGAGACAGCACTGCGGGTGTTGGTATCACTGTTGTTGTATCTCTTCCAATTAGAGTTCCGGCGTGACAGGGTCGAGTAATCTTTTTTCCGGATCCCTCGAATCCCCGATATCATTCGCGATCGGATGATGTCTGTTTCCGGCGTTCCCAGTCGTGTTCGGATTACATCTGCATCCCTGGGCCGCGTGCCGAGCGTAACACACCTCACAGGCCGCGACACATCCTTTGAACGGCCAGTAGCACAATAAGCAGGGCATGACGAGAGTAAGGGCGCCAAGGCAGGCCCACCTGGAGGCCCTCCTATTCCCCGTACAGGAACACGGCTCGTCCGCACAGCTAGCAGCCGCCTCCCCGTCGATTCCACCTGACCCGTTCCCGTCTACGCAATGATAAAACAGTCCTTTCACGCAGCACAGGCAAGAAGCGTAATCGAGGATCGTGTCGGCGGAACAGAAACACTTGTTGTCGCACAGCCATTTGCTGGGCAATGGAGGCGGTTCCCGACAAGACTCGCAACGACATCTACCGCAGAAATTGCACATTATCGACAAACCGGCCGGATCATAAGTCCTAGAAGCGAGGCTGTTGGCCGGTTCTTTGGTGAACGAGACCGGCTGCTTGGTCACCGCATTCGGTGTCGCGGTGTTCGCGGCGATCGAGCCTGCGGACGCGGTCGCGTTCGTCCCACCGCTCGCGATCAATCCACGAAACGCTTGAGTCCTGCTCGCGTGCAGCCGATGCGTCGCCGCGACGGACGCATCACCACCTTTCTGTCGATGCCTCCTGTCGATCTTCGGGCAATCGGCACCGATCCCCCGTTTGTTCTCATCCTCGAAGACTCGTCGCTCCTGTTGATTGCTGTGCTTGAACGGTGCCTCGACGTACTCGTTGATGGCCCTCTCTCCGTCCGGCCTGGGCACGGTCAGGCTCACTTCGCTTATAGGACTTCTAGGTGGCGTGTCGTTCGATACCAATCCCCTAGCATTCGTCTCGCCCGTCGAAGTCTCCACGTTTCTCGGTCTGCTTCGGAAGGTGTTCGAGAGTGGACTGAGCGGAGCTGTGACCAATACTCTCGGATTCGACGACGCTGTGAGAGGTGGCGCTGTCGAGGCAGTGGCAACGTGCACGCTCGGCAATCTTGGCGGAGGAAACGGCCGATTGTGATCATGGACGCGACCAGTGACGGTGACGTTTTGCTGTTGAACGGAATGCGCTTCTCCATCGTCAACGTTGCTGTTCGCTATGGCGTCGGTGGTGTCGTTTACGTTCGTCTGCGAGGAGGGTGGCCGCGAGAGCGGCGTGATCGCATTGTTTTGCGACATCGGCCGACCTCTCAGTTCAAGATGCTCGGCTTGACAACGCGCCGCTGTGTCCACGCAACGCTTTCGGTGCTCCTCCTTCTTCTTCGCCTCCAGCTCTTCTTCCTCCTGCCAGTGATTCGTGAAATGGATACCGTTACCGATCTCTGTGCTTCTTTCTCCTCCCCTTCCGTCACCTCCACCTCCGCCTCCTGGCCTAGCTCGACTCGACGACGAGAAAACTCTTCTAGACGATCCTGCTCCCGGTCTCCTCGTTGTTTCTGGCGAGGATGGTGACGCGGAACGACCAACCGACGATGTTGCCCGCTCGCTAGCCCATTGTTCGACAGCTCTCGGTGTGCTTGGACTCGATGTATGTTGATTCTGGTGGTAGTGATGGTGTTGTTGTTGTTGCTGCTGCTGATAATGAATTGACTGACTCGGGGTAGTAAGTGTCGCCTCGTTGATCCGCACTGGCCAGCCCGCGCGAGGTGGTGACACTCTCGACAAGGGCGTTCCATTAGCGAGGATGAGGCTCGGTAATGCTCCGCGTCCGCTTCCTCTCGCCCTCGCGACACGCGCTTCATCCCCACCTGAAACGATACCAGATACGTTAGTCTTTCTTTTCCGTCCCTATCTTCGTTTCCTCCCGAATTGAACGTCGATCGTTCTCACTTTCACTTTCGTTCAAAATCGAAAACGTTCACTTGTGATATCATTTTATATCATCTTTACACAAAGTTTTCAGCAGTAAAGGTTCGTTAAATACGTATAAGAATCATTTCGTCATGTTTATTGCGTAAATACGAAAAAATATGATTCTTCAAGCTTTTCCTACTTTACCGAGAAAGCAGGAAAAAATAAGGAGTTTTAAAAAAAAATAGAAATTTTCTCTATTTTGATTGAAATGGGATAATTCGTTCATTTTCGAATGATAAACAAAATTTCTTAAATTTTTTCTAATTACAATATTGATTTTGGCATATCGAACTTTTCATTTGATCGATTCAAGAGGATGAATTTCTAAGTAATGGAGATAAAGGTGTGTATTTAATTTAATTATAATTCTATATAATAAAACTATCAAGTTTTGTACGTAACATTATCTATCGAACGCAACTTTATCTTTCTATTCATTTCGTGTCGGATATAAGACAACAATCTTGTAAGTTAACCTAACTTTCAGTTCGAACCTATGCTCAAGATACAAATGCACGATTGTTTCTATCCTGCGTAAACCACGGGAGAATAGGTAAGTGGAAGAAGGGATTTGAATGAACAGAGTCGAAAACGATATTCGGATCGTACTAAAAGAGACACGAAGAATGTACGCGGCACTACCTACGTAGCTTCGAGATAGGATTGGTCTACGTGGGCGAGTGCGCCGCTCGTGGGCGCTCGTGGCCTGAGTGCACCGTGGCTCTTGATTCAGTGGTCATCGGCCCACTCGAAGCGCCTACAGTTGTGGAAGAAGAATCGAGCGTTTTGTTGAGCCGAGATCAATCGTGTCCTCCACGCATCTACGCTCTGTGACAGCACGATTTACATCCGATTAGCCAATTAATTATTTCCATAAGAAACATCGAAAAGTCGGATAAAATGAAGCGTCGAAAAATTTTTTTTCCAATAACAAGAGAAAATTTGAAACGGGTTTTGAATTAAAACGAGAATTTTTCTCAAAAAGAAATATCTCGTTCGTCGATAAAAATAAGATTCTTCCAAGATATCAAAAAATACAGTCAATTTTGTATCGCTGGTTATTAAGCATTTCGTTTCATCGAAATTAGACAGGGATCTAACAACGACATTTAGTGACTTATAATGTAAGCACAATCACGTGACTTGCGATTCTCGAATCGTATCTAGAATCTTCTTCCTTCCCATCGTTGCGATCAAATCAATGCAGATATGCTGCATAAATTTTCCGTGCAATGAAGATTTAATACATTTTATTACAAATACCAAAATATAAATTTATTTACACTAAATCAATCATACTATTTTAACTAAATTCACTCGAATAAAAACTGATACAGTGAATCACGAAACTGTTATATTATCTTGAATTTAATATTAGACATATATTGATCGCGTATCGTATTTCTTATCATCTTACAAAAATAATTCGTTTTATCCATTTTGCAGGTATTCTTCCATTTTTTTCACATTTTCTTCTCATTCGTTGAATTATATAAAAAATTAAAAAACTATCGCGGATGCGAGGAAAACTGATGATATTAAATCTGTCTGGGTAATACGTGTGCTCCGACCCACTCTTGAGGGGCATGCAGGATTGGAAGAAACGACGTTTGCTCGCACAAGACCATTCTCGCGACCTACACGCATCTCAACGTGTAAGATATACAATACGTCTCGTGCTACGATGCTTTTTACCTTGCAATTTAATCCTTGCTGTATAAACATATTTATGATATTTTTAAACGCGAGTCTTTCGCTTTGCAACGTGCTCGATGCATGATTTTTTTTTAGCGATAACGATGATAATTTTTAGAAAAATTTGAAAAAATTCGTGTGTGTTTTCAAATACAAAGGCGAGAGGAGATTTATTACAAGAAGTTTGTAAAAATGTATATACAAAATGAATAATATTCTTGTATAATGATTTTTCTTATAATTGAAAAAAAAAAGAGAGTTTTTGTTGTAAGTCAAAAAATGGACCTTGCGCGAATAATGACAATTTCATTATTCCCCTTCAGAAAGTAGATTTTGCTCAAAAACTTGGCAATATAAACGAAATCAAAAGTAAAATGGCAAAAAGTATTTAGAATTTTATATTAAAAATTCATACGACATGCACCCATTTCCATATTTGGATATTTTCATATTTTTGCCGCACAAAAATGCGTTAATCGTCGGAAACAAAAATTAAAATACCAAACCTTTAAACGATTTAAAGGTTAATCAATCTTTCGACCGTCAAATTGATGTTCGAAGAAAACGATTATCGCTAAACATTGTGCCGATTAAAATAAAATAATCCTCCTCCTTTAATGAAACTTTAATGAAACCTGGCCTTCGTTTATAAAAAATATTATCGTTCCCCGCGCGATAAGACTCTCCACACTCACCCATACTCGTGCCTCGAACCGGAGTATCACGATGCAGGAGATATCGAACGATTCGTATTGTGCGCGACTCACACGTGGCGTGAACACCCACGTACACGTACGCGGAAATACGCGAAGACGCACCGAAGAGAAAAAGAGAGAGAGAGAGAGAGAGAGAGAGAGAGAGAGAGAGAGAGAGAGAGAGAGAGAGAGAGAGAGAGAGAGAGAGAGAGAGAGAGAGAGAGA